AATTGTTTGATGACAACAACAATGAATATAATTTATAGTGAAATCCTAACACATGAGCCGAAAAACTATTTGCCGTTCAAATAAATCTTCATTCACTTCAATCATACAAAGAGTATTGTCTTTCAGTCAACTTATTCTTTAATATTAGATTTTTTATTGAAATTTTTCTAACATTTCTATAATTTAACTAAAAGTGTTGAACTAAAAAATAAAAACTTATGGCAACTTTAAAATAACAAACATAGGGGTTATAAACTCAATTTGTTGTTTATTTTAGTATTCAAAATGCATTTTATTCCGATAATTGACTGATGATTGTCTAATAGATAAATATAAATACATAAAAATCTGTTTAATATGAGCTATAATACACTTTACATATAAATATTTAAACTAATTTTTGAGTCAATTTATTGGAAATTAGCAAATATTTATTTATTAAAGAAATTTTTATAAAAGTTCTCAATTTTATAACTTTCACAACACTATTATAATATAAATCTAATTCTTTGAATAATAATATAAAAAAGTATTGATTTAATGAATTCGCGAGAAATATATTTGGATTGTATGTGAAGAGCAATAATTCAAATGACATTTAAAATACTGTAGTTGTCGTCAATTGGCTTTTCAAATAAATTGAATAAAACTTTATTTCTCGTATTATTTGTTGTTTTATTTTTAGGAATTTAATGACAATATATATTAATAGAATAGCATTTGAATTAAATGCCATTTCTATTGACTCAATATTTTTATAAGTTATTTATATATATTATACACTGATATTAAGTCTAATGGAAAGTGAGATTAAATAAGAGAAGTATTGCAGAATACGTAAGGACTTAGAAAAGCGAAGTGAGGGGTCATTGGAAGTCATTGTAATTTATTTGTTAGAAACGACTACACGTTTGGCTAAAAATAAGTTTTTGAGAAAAAACTATATTTTGACGAAAGAAAAAATCCAAATCTCGTTAATTTGCAAGTTTTCTACATTGATGTCTGAATCACTGCCTCGTGTCCCACAATATTTCATACCATCTCCTAATCTTATGTTAAGTCGAGAGGAGAGAGATATATACTGTGTATTGAAAGATATATTGAATATATTGGCACAACACTACTATTCACTATACTGTATATACAGTACTCTATATATTTTGTCAACATTTGTTTCATATACTGATTACTAAATATAGATTTAATGCTTCGGTTGTCTATAAGAAATTAAATCTGCAAACAAATAGATCGTGAATTATATATCCCATGCGTTATGCAATACAAATGAATAAGGATTATATTTGAGGCAAGTATTCATAGCGTAACCGATTGTTAGCCGGGTTTTCATTAAAAACAAGTTTGACAAATATCCTCACAATTCTGTGCTATTTTTAAGAGACACTCTGACTATCAGTGCTCTAAACATATCCCGTCTTAACTATAAATACAGAATACTATTATAAGAATACAATATTATATCGGTTTAAATGTTTCATATGTTGACAAACTTTTGCTATTTTTAAGAGACACTCTGACTATCAGTGCTCTAAACATATCCCGTCTTAACTATAAATACAGAATACTATTATAAGAATACAATATTATATCGGTTTAAATGTTTCATATGTTGACAAACTTATGTGAGAGAAGAGTATCTTTTTTAAAATATCAAATTATTTATGTTTTGTGTTGACTAAAAAAATTATTGTTTTAACACAACAGCCATCGATTGTATTGCAAATATCTTACCATAGCTTAAGGGTTGATATTTCGATGCATTGATTCAATTGCCATGAATGCAATTGTAGTAAATAATGTTAGAGAGATTACATCAAAAACAGTTGTTTTATTTTTTACAAATATTTCATTATTTAATTAAATAATGTTTACAAAACCAAATCTATTGATGCAGTAATAATAATTTTTATAAATTGTACATATAATGGCATTTTAATGAAAGTAATGTAATTGTCAGCAATCACTCAAAGCTCTCCAACTGCAAGGGTTCGTGTTTATAGCGGTTATCTCCGGTCGCAAACTCCGATACCGTATTTCCAGTGCCATTAATAACCCATTTGGTAGTCAACAATCCCTGCATTCCAACCGGTCCTATGAATAGACGCACAGATAGTGTGTTAGGGATTAAAGTTATTAAATTGAACGCAAAAATCAATACCTCTGGCGTGTATACGACCGGTTGATATGCCGACTTCAGCGCCTATACAAACATAAGAAGTTGTTATATTAATATTTAGTCAAAACACAGAATCGTTACTAAAAATATCCCTTTGATTAAATGACAAGAATAACATTCATTTGTATTATCTCTAGATATTATGTTTCAGTGTATATAAGATATGACAGTATATTAAATAGGAATAAAATAAATAAAATCTCTATTTGTTGAGAATCATTCACGTGTTGAATATATTTATCAATAGATATAAATGTATGAATACCTAAACCAAACCGATATCCATCAGCGAAACGAGTGCTGCTATTGTGGAAAACACAGGCGCTGTCGACACCCTTTTGGAACTGATGTGCCGTTAAGTCTAAACATTCAATCAAAGCAAATCAATTTAAAACTAAATTCTTGAAAATAAATTACAATTTCTAAGCAACAAAATGCATACCATCTTCAGTGACAATACTATCCGTGTGTCCGCTTCCGTATGAATTGATGTGTTCAATGGCATCGTTCACGTCGTCTACAATCTGTTCAAGCATTTAAATATTGATTTTATTGCCGTATATATGTAATTGTATGGCAAATAATACCTCTACAGTACAGGCGAGGGAACCATATTCTGTACGCAAAGACTTGGCGGGCGGCGGACCAAAGGTTAGCTTTTTGGACAGACGAGGGCCGGCATAGATCTCGACGTCTTTCTCTTTTAATTGATTACAAAGTGTGACAAAAAATTCGCTATCAATGAGTGACTTATGCAATAGCAATGTCTCCATTGCATTACAAGCCGCCGGATAATCGCATTTTGAGTCCAGCACTAGTCGTTATAAACAATATTATTATTTAGAGAGGCATCAAATAAATTGTGATGTGTTTTAAAGTTACCGATTTTGAGCGCCTTATTCTTGTCGGCGTCGATATCGACAAACACATGACAAATGCCTTCGCTGTGACCCAACACTGGTATCGATCGGCTCTGTGTCTGAATGTCTTTAACCAATTCGTTAGAGCCTCGGGGTATCACTAAATCGATACTATTGTCGAGCTGTAATAACTCACTCACGTCCTCCCTATTGCTCACCTAAATCAAAACGAAACCAAACCCAAAACACGTCAGCCATTAATCTTTGCCACAATAATCGCTATATTAAGGGTTAGCTTAGAGTGCATACCAGCCCAACGGCATTCTCGGCCGAATCGTAATGCGAGAGCGCCTCACGAATCAGATTATAGAGACAGTTGTTTGTATGGACCGCTTCTTTGCCGCCTTTGGCTAACAGACCGTTTCCGGTGGCTATGGATAGGGCGGCCACTTGTGGCAGACAGTCTGGACGTGACTCGAATATAACCAACAGTACCCCCAACGGCACTGTTATCTGTTTCAAATGCATTCCCTCTGCGATCAATGTGTGGCGCAAACACTGACCCAAAACATCTTGCGATTGATCCGCAATTTGGATCAATCCCTCCGATAGGTCTTTCAGCTTCTCTGTCGTCAGTTTGAGTCGAGACAACAGCGGTTTTGACAGCCCTTTTAATTAGTGATCATCGCATAAATTAACACAATTTGTCATTTATTTAAATTTAATTATCAATTGATTACCAGAAGCCTCGGCTTCTCGAAGATCGGCGGCGTTTGCGACAAGAATTTCATCCTTTTTTGTTTGCAAAAGATTTGCGATTCTTATGATTACATCAGACCTCTCTTCGGGAGTCAGCGATTGGAGAATACGACTGCCTTTTCGGGCTGTAAATGATTGACACGTTTTTGTGAAGTTTTAGACAGAAATCAAATGCGAAAGAAAAAGAAATGCGAAAATTGGATAATAAACTAGAATTTTATGAATAGACAAGAATTAGAAAAATGTCGATTCAATTCAATTCTTTAAAAAACGCTGATATGTATTGAGAGACAACACATCACAAAACGATAAATACTTTATGGGAGGAAAAAACAAGTTTAATAAAAATCAAGTCTAGTTTTTTGACAATTAGACGGAAATATAAGTCATATAAATCGCGTACTAAAATATTTATGAACTAAAACTCTAAAGACTTTTCCGAAAGAATAGTGAATAAAGAAGAAGAACTCATATGAGAGAAGAATTCAGACTATTTATCAAATACTGAATTAAAGAACAAAAATACTGTTTGTTATAACAGGACTGGAAATGAGGAACAAATTCGCGAAATGGTATTTATTTCTATGAAAATCATATAGAAATCATTGAAAATTACTTTTGAAGCAAATCCGTCAAAATCTTGTGAACAAACAATGAATTTCTCACAGAATAGTGTCGTCTCTTGTTTTTTATTTCTATAATTTATTGTTTCCTCAAATGTTTTTATAGAGTCTTTTCAAAGCAAAAATACTCACAACTAATCACAACAACAATCACTTCTTACACATCAAATCATGAAAATGTGCCAAAAATACAAATCGTGATAAATATTTGATTATAAAATATATATTCTCCCCTCCCGTCATATATGCAGGGTCTCAGTCGGCACTACACCAACACATACTGAATTACATTTATGCAATTAACACATACTCTATTCTCTACACTATATTACTATACAATTTATGCAAAAACATATAAAGTATACATATTTATAATTTTTATAGTTTCTAATAACTCTAATAGTCTTGAAATAAAATTTTATATTTTTGAAAATTCAATAAAAATTACAACAATTAAAATCAAGGCAAAAATTTGATTTGAAATTATTTGAATAATTTTCACTAATTTCATAATTGCTAATTAATAATTGTTATTCAAATCAATGATAAATTATTTTTAAATAGCATTTAATTTGCTTTTATCCCATAATCTAAGCAAATAATTGTCAATTTAAAAACATAACGTTATTAATAGAAACACTTTCCGCAAAAGACTGCGATAATGAATAACTTTTAATAACTTAATTATCAGTAAATATTTAAATTGCATAAGAAATATGTGCTTTAATTGTCTGCAATTATTTAAACTAGAATATAAATTAAGTAAACACTCGACAAAAGTAAAGCAAATATTTCAAAAACAGTTTAAATTGTTTCAAAAACTTTCCCATTAATTAGATTATGTCTTTGGATTCAATAACGAGTTGCTGTAAATAATTTTTGCTTATTTTTAGCCTTAAAACTGTTTTTGTATTTTATGAATGACAGAAATGAATGAAAGATAATATTCTGGAATACTTTTGATTGAAGTCCTATTAGAGCTAAATATATAAATAATTAAATCTAAAAATAGATTTAATATATCAATATCCTAATAATATATTATATTAATAATTTATAATATACTAATATTCTATGCTTTTTGTGACACAATGTGTTATATAAAAGCAACGATTGTTTTGTTTATCGGCCGATAAATGTAATGGATATGCAATTTTTACAAATTGTATTAACAATTGTTATTTCTATAGAATCCATACAATACTTGATGTCATACTGTATTTGTAAAGACAATAAATTTCTAAATTAATGCGATTGTAATTCAGTAGTGCTTTGACTGTCACTCTTTGACAAATAGTTAATAATGAGAGAGAGAGAGAGAGAGAGAGAGAGTATGTGTTAATTGCATAAATGTAATTCAGTATGTGTTGGTGTAG